TCGCTCTGTTGCCCAGGCTGGAGTGCAGTGGCATGATCTTGGCTCACTGCAACCTCCACCTCCCAGGTTCAAGCAATTCTGCCTCAGCCTCGTAAGCAGCTGGGACTACAGGTGCGTGTACCACACCCGGCTAATTTTTGTATTTTTAGTAGAGACGGGATTTCACCATATTGGCCAGGCTGGTCTCGAACTCCTGACCTCATGATCCACCTGCCTCGGCCTCCCAAAGTGTTGGGATTACAGGCGTGAACCCCCGGCCCGGCCGAACCTGCCCTCTTAACTATGATACTATCCTGCTACACTGAACAAAGAAATGACCCCCACAATGCAACCTTCACCCCAAGAATTATTTGTAGCAACTACCATCATCTCATATTGGGAACTGAGAGCCTCAGATTCGCTAGTGCACAGGGAGTAGGAGTCAGGAGGAGATTCCTGGGTCCTTAATGGGAATATAGAATAAGGGAATCCAGAGGTTGTCAGGTCAGCTAAGTTCCTCTGGCTAGAAGCCACCAGGCCTATTTTAACCAGCCACCTGTCCACTTCTGTCTCTTCTAGCCAAGTCACAAGTTCAGAGAACCTCAGCCCTCTGAACAGTCCCCTTATCCTGGTACCCAGGGTGAGGCAAAGAACACTGGAAAGCCCCTGCCAGGCTGACTGGCAGGGTTTGGAGAAGGCCAGAGTGAAGTCAGGGCCGTAAGTGAGAGGTGAATAAGGGACAAGGACGTCACCACCTCATCCTTCCAGCTCTGCTTCTCCAAGCCTTCTCTAGGGGTTCCTATTTCCTGATACGCACATCTCCCTATGCAAAGCCTGGCAATTCCCTCCTCCACACTTTTCTTCAAAGGCACAAAGCCTCTTCAGTGCATACCTAGGCCCCAAGCCACACCAGAACCAGGCTCTCCCTTATAAACCCAAAGGGCTCTGTCCCCCTAATCAAGATCTGCCCTTCTTTTCTCCCTGGGCCATGATGAGGTCCGAAACAGCTCCGGTGTCCAGCCTTGCTATCTCGGGTTGCATATGCTGGGCATGTAGGGAATGCTCCAAGCATCTGCCAGAAAGGAGGTGGGGAAAGAAACCAGATTGGAAGGGAAGGGAGGACAAAAGACTGTGGGGTCAGTGCTGCCCAAAGGAGAGCAATTTTGGAAGTAACCTGTGGATGAGCTGAAGCACCACTCCCCATACCCAGAAAACTGATGTGTTAGAGCGACAACGTCAGAGAAGATGGCAGTCAACCCATAAAGAAAACCCCAAGAGGCCGGGCGCAGTGGCTCAATCCCAGCACTTTGGGAGGCCAAGGCGGGCAGATCACTTGAGGTCAGGAGTTTGAGACCAGCCTGGCCAACATGGTGAAAACCCATCTCTACTAAAATTACAAGAATTAGCCAGGTGTGGTGGTGGGTGCCTGTAATTCCAGCTATTCAAGAGGCTGAAGCAGGAGAATCGCTTGAACCCAGGAGGTGGAGGTTGCAGTGAGCCAAGATCGCGCCACTGCACTCCAGCCTGGGCGACAGAGCGAGACTGTCTCAGAAAAGAAAAGAAAACCCCAGGAGATAGCCCCACATATATCCCAGCATCTCTGACTCTAAATTTTTCTTGGCTCCTAGCTCTTGTCTCTGGGCTACAACCATCCTGTACTGTTGGCGCCCTAAATCAGGAAGTGGAAGCAGACTGGTAAAGGAGAGAATGAGTCCAAGACCAGACCCATTCTCCCAAATCAGTTAAGTCAACCACCACTACCACTGAGGGCTTTCTGGAAATTCCCTGGACCCCAGGTCACCCCAACCTGGGTTTATTCTTTCAAACTGTATTGAGGTATGCTAAGGGGTACAGACCAGAGTACAGACCCAGAACCTTTGTCTCTGCTTACTAAATTCTCCCCAGACTCCTTCCGAGGATTGTCCCTGGTGGTGGTGAGACCACAAGAGCACATTCATTTAAAAGTGCTGTTAGCTGAAGGAGCTCTGACCTTGGAGAAAAGCTAAGGGGGAGGGGACCCAGAGATGCTTGGGTCCATCCAGACAGTATCCCTCAGAATGCTAGGCTCTCCTGGAGAAGCAAACATGTCCTCAGATTCAAGCCTTACAACTGACCAGCGCTGTCCTCTGACAGGGACACCCAAACTTTAATGGTGGGCACAGCACCCACCTTGAACTTCCTCCCACAATTAAAGAGGCCCATCATAAAAGCATCTGCTTTAGTCCTCTAGAAATCCAGATACCTACACTCACACTATGAAATACATTTTCAATCTTTTTGGAAGAGTTCCCTTAATGGGAACCTCAGGGGTTTCTCCTTCACACCCAGGGCCAAGTTCCAGTCCTTGTTTGTAACAAGCCCTCCCACCCACCTCCACCCTTGACACACAAGTCTGTCTGTCCCTTGTTATGGGACCAAACACCGAGGTTCCAAATAGGGTCTTTCACAAGCCCACATCAACAGATCTGGCTGTCATCAAACAGGTGTTCCCCGCCTCTCGGTTTCTTTAGCAACAACTCCAGCTTTCTTAAAAGAGCGCCCCACCCACCATCTTAGCCCCCAAGTTACCAAATCCTGACCCATCTAGCCCCATCAAAACCCCCAAGGGCCAGGTTCTATTACAAGGGTCTCCGTCCTCCCCAGCCCAAGCCCCGCTTAGGGTGCCCAATTCTCTAGCGAGAAAAGCCCCAGCCAGGACTCCCTTCCTAGGCCCAAACAGAGGCCCGACACTCCGAAAACCCCTGACCACCACGGACAGACGTCCCCAACACCGCCAGCGCCCACCCTGGCTCACCGTGCGGATCTGCCTCCGCAAAAGGTAAATGAAGAAGCTCCAGAGCTTGGCGGCGAAGGCCACGAACGTGCGCAGCCCCAGCAGACACTGCGTCCGCATCATCCCGATGACCCCGGCACCGCCGGCCCCGGGG